CTTTAAAAAGCATGTTCAGTACAAACTACAAACCAGAGAAATAAATAGATATCCTTAAGAGCTTCTTAAAAGGTTTTTAGAATACTTATCAAAATGACTCTTAAGAACTCAACACTCAGTTTGCTTTACCTGCCTTAAACATTTGCTTGGCAGTAAGCGTAAATTTCTACCAGTTAGAGAAAATGAATAAAGCACTTACATAGTAAAAAAATAATAATAATAATTCAAATTAAGTGGGAATACCAAGTCGGTAAATAAGATTACAGAGCTAAATATCAAATGAATGACTCCTATATTGGAAAGCCTTCCTTCAATTTTTATTCCTAGGTATGTAGCTCACAGGCGCTTTTTACTCAGAACCTGATAAAACAGATATCACCACAACCACATCAATCAGCTGTAAACACTGGTCAATTGAATCCGCATCTGTCCAGCTAAACTAATTTCATAGGAAGTCCTGCAAAGTCAGTAACTAAACTGCATCCTAAATTCAGAAATTAGTCGTTTTGAACCCTCCACGATCAATCAACTCAGTGATTTATTTAATTGCCCTGTGGTCCTTATGAAAGACTTTCCTCCTAGGAAGAGGCTGTCATCCTACAATCAGCTCTGAGAACAAAGAACACATCTAACTCACATAAGAGTTACAGGTTTCATAAATTATTAGGCTGAAAAATGTTTGGGGGATAAGCTAATAAACACCAAACAGTTCTGTGTAGCCTTTTCAATTACATAAGAAATCTTTCTTGAGCATTATTAAAATGCACTAGGAAGTTCAAGCAAAGTCCTAAGTTAATTTGTGTTTCAAACCTTAGGAAACGTTCTCTGTATTCAGATAAGGATGAAGGTACAAACTCTACCTTTAAAACTTAAAAGCCAGTTTCGGATATTTTAAATATTTAGGTGGAATTACTAAAAAGAAAATTTTGTTGCACAACACATGCAAAACGCTAAAAACTGCACATCTTAAGGTGAGTACCAAAGAGCAGCTTAAAGCTGGCTATATGAACTCTGTTTATAAATAATACAAAAAGAAAAGGTCATTACCACGTCAGAATTACCACCATAAAATTATTATAAATAAGATTTAAGTCAGACTGAGTCAATAACCACAGAGTTTTATTATCTTCAACACTAGTGACAACTTAATAAAATATGCCTAACAAATCATTTATCTGAAAATTGGAATTATATTCCTATATAATCACAGAAACAGTATTTTTAAAAGTGGATGGCAATATTTATTTGATATCTATCATCTGATTTTAATAGAACTGTCTTGCAAATAAGAATATTACAGCTTTTAGAGAGGAGAAAAAATATGACAGAAACAAAGAGAGAAGAAAAGAAAAGAAGCGAAAAAAATCCCAAACACAGGACTGGGAATGCCAACTAATTCAGCACAGTTTTGCAGTGTCAAATAAAAAGTCTATCGCTGAAAGCTACATGGAAGTGTAAAACTTCTGTTTCTGGACTTTGATCCAAGCGGTCATAAAAACTTGTCCTCACTTAGTAACTCCTATTTCCATTAAATGCCAAATATTCTCAAGCTTTTGCCTAGTACAAAACAAAGCAATAAAAAGTCAATCACAATACTCCTACAATACTAAATGATCTAAAACATCACCCTCTGTGGCAGAAAAGATTAGTAAATAATGAAAAGTAACATTATTTTAATATGTCAAGAACAGCTGTTAAAGTGGCACTGGCACCGGAAGCCTTCATTTGCAAACACATGAAGATTAGAGCCCTTAATTAACATAATATTTCAGGCGGGTAGAACAGTGAGGGTGGGATTTTCCATACGTTGTAGCTTACAAGTCTCAAAATAATTTTTCTGCCTATAGATTATGTTATGAATTCTTCAATTGACACTCAAATTCACATAAAGAGGCTGCGATTCCTAAAAAGCATCTATGCCCCAAACTTGTAGCCTTTAACCAGCTGCTTAGCCCTGTGTTTGAAGATAAGTTATAACAAACAATGTAATATAGCAGCAGAACTCCTTTCAGGGTCAACCAATTTTCACAGGTATTTAAATGAGAATTTAGGAAAGCCAGAAACCTTCATCCTGTTCAGGGACTACTTCTGAGTACAGATCATTCAGTCTGGGGATAGGATAAAAAAGCATGCATGAATGTCAAATGACAACAATTAAATCAAATAAGGTAGAAATATTCCATCAACATGCCTGTTTACAGGCACAGATGCCCAATCTAAGTGAATCCAAATTTATTTTAAATTTTAAAACATGTTAAATGTTTCTACAGAACATATGTTTCATGGGGTCCTGAATCACAGACTCATTTAACACTTACAGCGTGGAACAGAAGGGAAAAAAGCAAAGTAATGTGAGCCTCTAGTTAAAAAAAAAAAAAAAAAAAAAAATCCTAGCTCTAAAGTCAAAATGTCTGCAATAAGTTTTTACCACAACCATATGAATCACACTGGGTTTAGAAATTTGGAATCTTTAGAATCAACTACTGTCTAATCTCTCTTAAATCTCCAGTTAATGCCACCAAATATAAGCCCAAACCAGAACCCCTGACTACACACAGCTTAGATTATATTCTTTAAACTGACAGCTTTCAGCACTTTATAACTCTTAAAATTAATGGCCTGTACTACTCTTTAAATATTTTACACTTTCATTTTCTGACTTTTACTCAACATGAACCTTTACAGTTAGATATACAAGAATATATAATACACACATACGTTTCAAAAAAGGTGGTCAGTCTATTGTCAACAAGTATAATATAATAACCATCGCTTAAAAAAAAGCCTTTATATAGAGTTTCAGATGACCTAAATTTTACACTGAGCAGCAACTCTGAGAAATTAGGATTTTAAGTCTATGCTACTTGGGAGAAAAAGTAATGCGGAAAACAAAGTAAATTTAACTCTTTCCATTTGTTTGCCGATGAAAAGTTACTAGCAAAGCTCTGGCAGGCTCTGAGAGAAGCATTCTTACGTACGACTATTTAACACCGACCACCAAGCTATCCTAAGTGCCTATCTTAAGGGGGGGGGGAGAGGACATTTATGCTGATTTATGTAAGACCCGTCAGGTTTTCCTTTCAACTATTAATAACCTGCCTACAGAACACCTCCAAAGAACACCCTGACACACTGAAAAAAAAAAAAAGATCAGCCCAGGTCTCCTGCCCACTCCCCATTCAATGAGGCAGAGAGGGGGAAGTGGGCCAGGGGGAAGGGAACTGGGGACAGAGGGCCTCGGAGTGGCAGGGGAGCCCTGGGACCCGCGGCCCGCAGCAGGCAAGAATTCCGGAGCCCGGTGCCCGAGTGCCCGGCCCGACCGCAGAACAGCGTCCTTCGAGCACACGTCACTCTCTCTCGGGGCTTTATCCTCTGCTGGCTCCAGGTTCAGGACTTTCGAAGGAAGACGGCCAAGGCGGGCAAGGAGACTTTACGGGGAGGGCGGGGCAACGAAGCCCTGGAGAGCAGATTTGCCCGAAGTCAAGGCTCCGTCCCCAAAGCCCGACAGTGAGGACATCCACATCAACTCTTTAGGAGAAACAGCCTTTTGTGAAAAAACAAACCAGAGCCGCGTCTAAGATCCCCAAGTACTACTACACCGGAAGACAACAAAGGCGGAGAAGCCCATCAGACAGTCCGTTTCCAGGGAAGCGCCCCCACCCCCGCCGGGACCCGCCGCCCCCACCCCGCACCCAGCCGCGCCCCCAAGGGAAGTGGCAAGGGGGGATGCTCAGCCAACTACCTTGTTTGGTCTCCAAAGGGCAACATAGCGAACACAGGACTTTGGAGGCGCAGCCCCCGCGGCCTCCGCAGGCCCTGGGCTCCGGGGGCGCCCGGGCGACGACGAGCCCAGGTGAGGCGGCCCCTCAAGCCTGCTCGCTGCTCGCCGACCCCGCTGCCCGCCGCCGCCCCGCCCTGCGCCGCCCCCTGGCGGGGAGCGCCCGGCACAGCCGAGCCCGCGCGGCGGCGGGGGGATCCCGGGGCCGCCCCACCAGCCCCGCCAGGCGCGCGGCGCCCCCGACGGCCGCCGCCTGCAGCCGGTGCGCCCCGGAGCCCGCCCGGCTGCTCCTCGGGCTGCGGGGACGCCGCCGCCCCGCCTCCGCCCGCCGCCGCCGCCGCCCCAGCCCCAATCCCTCCCGGCGCAGCGGCGAGCGTTTCCCACGCGCGCGCGGCGCTCCCCGGGGGCCTCCTCCCCGCCCTCCGCCGCCGCCGCCCCGGCGCTGGGCTCCGACGGGGAGGAGCCGGCCTCCGGGCTCAGCCGGGCCGCGCGGGACCCGCCAGCCCCCCGCTGGCCGCCGCCGCCGCCGCCGCCGCCGCCCTCCCCAGCGCCTCCGTGCGCGCCGCGGAGCCCTGGGCGCAGCCGGAGAGAGTGGAAGGAAGCGCGCGAGCCCGGGAGGGACTGCGAGGGGGCGAGAGGCGACCGCACTCACTCCGGGACGACTCCGGCACGGTGCTGCCTCGGGGCTCCTCGCGCTCTCACCCCACCCACCCCCGCTTCGCCGCCCCGCCGAGGGCCGGGCACGGGGGCCGGGGGCGGAGCGGAGCCGCTGCGACCAGGCTGGAAATGGAGCTCCCGGAGGGGCTGCAGGGAAGGGGCTCCAACACGGTTTGGGGGTCGCTAAGGTTTGGGGGCCCCGGAGGCCAGAGAGGAGCCGGGGGAAGGCCTCTGAGCGCGGGTGTCTGTCAACAATCTCGCCCTCGGGGATCGCCAGGGCGGCGGGAGGTGGGGGCGGGGCGAGGGAGGGGGTCCGGCATGTACACTGTTGCATCTAACTTTGTGAGCAGGTCGGATCGAACCCCACGCTCGGGCGTCTCGACTGTACCGGCCACGGAGTCGAGGTCTCTACGCCCCAGCGGGACCAAAGCCCTCTCCGAAGGCAAAGGGCCTGGGAACACAGCTCGTTCAAGGGTGAAGGAAGGGGGGAGGTCCAGGAAGGGGGCGGGCTGAGCCCCCAGGTCACTCAGCGCCCGGGCGCGTCCTCCGGGGGTCCCCTCCTTACCTGGTGGCTTTCCTGACAAAGTAAGAGAAGGTGAAGTCCCGGTGATCATCCAGCCACGCTTCCACGGAGTCCTGATCCCGCTGCAGCTGCGCCCCCCCGGCGCCGGGGCTGGCCCGCTCCATGACCCACGGGCGGCGACTCGGCAGCTGGCTCCCGCGGCTGTGCACCCCGGCTGGGGTCCCTCCCCCGAGGAGGAGAGCTCTGCCCCGAGACCCTCCCCCTCCGCGGCGCTCCAGGCCCCGGGCGGTCGGCGGCGCTGCTCCGCCCCGAGCCAGCCGCTGGCCGCGCCCCGCCTCTCCCGGGCCTCCCCGCTCCCAGGTGTGGCGGGTGGGGCAGGCGCAGCGGCCGCGCGTCCTCCCCGGGTCCCACGGAGACCGGGGCTCGCAGTCGCTCGGGGCCCCAGATTCCCAGGCGGCGACGGAGACAACTGGCGAGCTCGCCGGAAGCTCCGTGGCCACCGCGGCCGGAGGCCACGCCGCCGCTGGGGGGCGCTGCGCGGGCTGCAGGGGGGCGCGCAGAGGTGACCGGGGGCGGGGGTGGGGCTCGCGGAGTGCCCCACTTAAGAGAGGGACAGTCGCGATGCGTGCGCCCACCCCCAGGTCCCGAAAGCCGGAGCGAGGGGCAGTTTCCACCAAAAATAAGAAGTGCTGCTACCCCGGGCACTTTGCCCCCACCCTGGGTGAACCACGACCGTCCAGCGCCCTGGGCTTGGGTCTGGAAGGAGCGGCGACCCACCTGCCTCCGAGCCCAGCCTGCCCGGGTGTGGGCCACGGATTTGTGGGTCCTGGTGGGTGACCTCCAGCAGAGGCATTCCCCTACTAGTATGTCAATGATAACAATGCCTAATTGTCTTTGCACCGAACACTCCCTTTGCAGGACTGCAAACAAGATGTTCTGGGAAAAGGAGAAGGTAAACTGAAATAATCGTGATGGTTTGGGGATGAAGTCAGGAAACGAGGGCACCTCTGCGCAATCAGGTTAACTTGAGAGCAAAGGCACTACCCGGATGCAGTGCAGAGCAGGCCGGCTAGCCCACGTTTCAATTAAGTCATCACTTATATTTAAGTGGGATTAACACACAAAAAAAGCATCCGTTTCAGAGGGCTCGGCCTTCCTACTCTGTTTTGTCCGATCCCCACTGTGCTTTACAAAAAGGAATTGGAGTCTTCCTTTTGCTTTCTTCTCATCTCCATCTCATTGTCCTGCAAACTAAAAATTGGCAGTTTTAAGAGGCATTTTGCAATGACCTAATTTGGGGGCAGAATTAATTCTGGAGTCTATGTTTCACAACGTGTGAAGGGCACCATTAGCAGTGATATACCCATCGTGATTTAGCCGACATACTTTCACAAAGCCCTTTTCGAAATCTTGGCAAGAATTTAAGACCTTACTCACTGCATAGAAACGCATAATTAAATTTATAATATAAGAACTTTAAAAGATGTCTTCCAATCCTCCAATGCAATGGTTTATCCTTCCTGCATTAAATAATTGTCCTTCTGTAACTAAAGTTTTTCTGAAACTTCACTGTTGTATGCAAGTAACCACAAACCAATAAGAAGTAAGCAGAGCAGTGAAATGTGAAATAATGTGTGATAAATTCTACAGATTTTAAAATGCGGGTTCTCATTGCGATGTGTGATTACAGTGCTCATGGACTAGAGGCTTTGTCCTCAGTGCTTAATTTTTCCCTGTGGAGATCCATGCATTCTCCTAACGGAGGGTCAATTGTAATTTAACACTGTACTTACCTACAAAAGATGGGGTGAAATTTTGTCTTGACTTGTTTGCTTCAACTGGCTGCCTTGATTAAATAAACAAGCACCTCTAACTGCCCATTCCCTCTTAACCTGAAAGGGTTAAATGATCAGGAATCAGGAAGTTATCTGACAAGCTACTCCAAGAACAAACACCCGCGGACTCTGCCATTCTGGAGTCTGATTTCTGTGTGGTACACATGGTAGATTGCGTGTTTGTTGTGGAGGCCTGTTATTTGAGGTGAGTATATCATGAGGGATTGGGGGATGGGGTATTTCAAACCATTCTAGTCTCCAGAAATCTCAGATAAAATTTGTAACAAATCTCCTTAACTTTAAAGTTCTTAAAGGTGAGCATATTTTGCACTGACCTCACCCCCACCTCTTGTTTCCCAGCTCCATTTTTTTTATTACCCCTACTTGCTAGATTGTTTAATGTTTTAACCTACTCCTAGAGACTGCACTAAGCATCTCCAATCTTGTTTTAGAATGAGTTGAAGACTGAGTAATAAACATTACCAGGAAATAACTTTAAAAATGCTGTTAATGCTATTTGCAACAAACAAATGTGCAATGACTTAACAGAAAGTCCTCCAATTCCCATTGTACTAGAATAAAACCAAAACTCTCTAAGATGGCTTACAAAGTTCTGCATGATTTGACTTTTACCTTTCTCTATTGTTGAACATTTTGATCTTACAACTAGAAAAAAATAAACCTATGATGATCAAATTCCTTTCCAGTTAAAAGGGGTGTGAATTAAAAGAGTTGTGAAGTCTTTCCTGCTTTGCTTTTTGTTTTTGTGTTTTTTTTTTTCAAATACCACACAGTATATTCTGTCCCCCTGCAATCTTCCAGTATATCCCAGGCTTGAGAAAAGTAATATATTCGCACTTATAGTGAGATCCTAGTTTCTCACTGTTGAAGGGAGAAAACTTGAGGATACATTGTAGGGTCAAAATGGAATTGGAGGTTACAAATTAAATATGGGGGGGTGTCATGTAGAGAAATCCCATATGATGAAGAAATGCAGGCAGTTTCTAAGAGCTGTTGGTACCCTCCAGCTGACAGCCTATAAGGACCTTCAGTCAGCAAGAAAACGAATCCCTCAGTCTTAAAAATACAAGAAATTGAATTCTGCTAACAACCTGTGTGAGCACAGGACTGGATATGACCCCATTCGAGCCCCAGATGTGACCACAATTCCAGTCAATATATAGATTTGCAGCCTTGCAAGATGCTAAGACATTTTCATAATCACATCTTAATAATAATGAGTCCTATTATCCATGAACATAGTATATTTATCTACTTAATCCAGTTTTTAAAAATTTTACTCAGTAATATCTTGTGGTTTTTAGAATATTTATCTTAAGCATATTTTGTTAAATATATCTCTGTATCTACTTCAGCTCTGTCACTGAGCGGTACTAAAAGCCATGACATGTCAGTAGCAATGAGTACACTTAGTACCCAGATTTTGGATTCTAAATGCCATTCTCCACCTTAAAAGGAATTAGAAGTGTTTGGAGAAAAGAAATCCAGGTCTCGGACAGAAAAAGTATAAGACATGTCTGGAAAATCTTGTTTTGCTAGAAAATTAGAAAGGCTTAAAATGATGGCAACATATCAGAAGGACAGAGGATATATCTGCAGAGAGATTACAATGGACAAATCTGGAGCAATTTGAATATCAAAATATGTTATTACTATAATATAATAATAGAATGTACAATATATAATTCTAATGTCTAATAGAATGTACAATATAATAAATTGTAACAACTGACTAAAATAAAAAAAACTGTAATTTCACTCTGGTATAAATAAATCATTAGATAAGTAAGTAAATAGGAAAGAAGAGAATGTTCCTTATAGTAGAATGCTAACTAATAAATACAAAAGGAATTATATAGTAAGGGAATCAATGGTTGCTGAAACTAGTCAGTGAAAGTTTGATGTTGAACGGGGTATTTACAAAGCCTTAAAGTATCTCCTTACAAGGTTTTTTATTAGTTTTCCTGGGAAAATTGTATCTTTACAATGGAGACACTTTATGGATACCTTTCTAACCAAGTGATCAATTTAATATCACTTATATTGGGACAAACCAAATATATACACCTTTTAATAGGATGGATATTCTTAGAAGGACACAACATCACTTCTGTATTATTCCTGAATCTAAATCTAATCTTGAGGGGATCCCTGGGTGGCTCAGTGGTTTAGCGCCTGCCTTTGGCCCAGGGCGCGATCTTGGAGTCCCGGGATCGAGTCCCGCGTCCGGCTCCTGGTATAGACCCTGCTTCTCCCTCTGCCTGTGTCTCTGCCTCCCAACCTCTCTATGTCTATCATAAATAAATAAAAATAAATCTTTAAAAAAAATAAATAAATCTAATCCTGAGGATCAGATTGAGAGATTTCCATACAAACACACCCAGACTGAGGCACTTTGTAAAAATAATTGGCCTGTATGCTTCCAAGATTTCAAAGTCAAGAAAGAGAAAGACTGAGGACCTAGTTATTTATTACTTTGTAACAATATTACCACAATTTTAGTGGCTTCAAACAATGCACATTTGTTAACTCCCAGTTTTTGTGAATAAGGAGTCTAGGCGCTAAACTGTGTCTTCTGCTCAGGGGAGGTCTCAGGGCAATTGAATGTCAGCCAGGGCTGCAGTCTCATCTGAGAGTCAATGGTAGAAGGATCTGCTCCCAAGCACACTCAGGCTGTTGGCAGAATTCAGTTCCTTGTGGTTGTAGACTGAGGGATTCTTTTTCTTGCTGAGTTCTGGCTGGAGACCCTAACAGGCTGTGGGCTGGGAGCCCCCCTCTGCCTCAAGAAGCCCCCTTCATTTCCTTGCCTTCATTATCCCAACATGACTGCCTGCTTCCTCAGAACTAGCAAGGGGGAGAGACTCTAGCGAGATGGCACTAAAATCTTATGTACGCAACCATGCAATCACGTATACATGGTTATACACATCCCATCACCTTTGCCTTATTTATTGTTGGAAGCAAGTCACAGTTCCGCCCTCACATGAAGGGAGGGGAATCGCAACAGGGTGTGAACACCAGGGGGAGGATCCATGGAGGCCCCCTCAGGAATCCTTCTAGAATAACACTAATAAAGCATAGTGACTGTGATATAGCATGTGTTCAGTAGACATTTGTGGGGAAAATTTGAAAAAAAATTTCTTAGATTGCTTTGGCAGAACTTTTGTATATTGTATGTAAATGTGCAACTGATCTTTGAGTCGTTTCAAAGTTGATTCAAAGTTGATCTTTGGGGGAGGAGGGGCAAGATGGCGGAAGAGCAGGGTCCCCAAATCACCTGTCCCCACCAAATTACCTAGATAACCTTCAAACCATCCTGAAAATCTACGAATTCGGCCTGAGATGTAAAGAGAGACCAGCTGGAACGCTACAGTGAGAAGAGTTCGCGCTTCTATCAAGGTAGGAAGACGGGGAAAAAGAAATAAAGAAACAAAAGGCCTCCGAGGGGGAGGGGCCCCGCGAGGAGCCGGGCTGAGGCCGGGGCGAGTGTCCCCAGGACAGGAGAGCCCCGTCCCGGAGGAGCAGGAGCTGCACCAACCTTCCCGGGCGGGCGGAAAAGGGGCTCGCAGGGAGTTGGAGCAGGACCCAGGAGGGCGGGGATGCCCTCGGGCTCCCGGGGACACTAACAGACACCTGCGAGCGCA